GGTTCTGTTACTTGATGGTTCCATTACTAGTGCTTAAAAGTCTTCTCCCCACTACACTGCCGGCCACAAAGGCTAGCACTCTGCAATACTGTGGTGGTTGATGGTATAAAGTGACAGCAGTACCTTAATTTGCGTCTGTGAATACTAGTAAACTTGAGCACAGTTTGTGTGTTTCTTGGAACTTTGGATTCCTTGTTTAAGAACTGTCTGTTCATCCCTTTGTCCATTGTTCCTTTAAAGTTCCTAACTTCATATTCCTAAGACAAATGCCACTTTATTCTTGAAATTTTACTTTTGACTTTTTACATTGAAGTCTTTTTTTTTCTTTTCATTATAGATAATGAGTACCTATGCACACATGCATGAGAGACAGCGAGAGAGAGAGAGAGAGAGCCCTCAACAGGGTCTTGTACTACAACCCCTTCCCCCACTCTGCAGCTCCTCAGGATCCGGGGTGCCTATACCTGTGCTCTGGCAGAGTGTTCTCAGGCCAGTCCAGGGACCCAAACCTATAGTTCGGTATGTGGCTTCCAGCACCAGATCCACCTAGGCTGGGCCTACATCGAAATCTTTAATCCATCCATTTATTTGCCACAAGATAGGAATCTAACTTTTATTTCTTTTAGCTGAGGAACCAGCTGGGTCAACATCATCCATTAAGTAAGCTGAACTTTTCTCATCATCTCTGCCAAATATTCTGTATTTCTTATTCTAGTCTATTGGCCTCTTTGTCTATTCTTATACAATATCGGCATAATTTGATTATGGTATTTAAAACACATTCATCTTTTTTATATTTTCCTTTCATTTCATAGTCTAAAAATGTTATCTTCCCCACACCTTACTTGTGATTAATTCTTGGACATGTTTTCATATGAACTTTAACATTATTTTATTCAATTAGAAAAAACATCGCTGAGGTTTTCATTGACACTCCATTCTATTTAAATACAAACACTGGGAAGCAATAGAACTTTCCAGACCACACGTTTCCCATCCCAAAATCATAGTACATACTTGCAGCTCTTCAGACTTTGCTTTTTGTCTGTGAGGGAGGATTTTATAGTTTTCTCCTCACAGGTCATGGGGAGCCACAGAGGGCCGGGCACACTCACAGGTGTCACCACCCCACGCTTGTCTCTAGGGGCCCTCTCACTTACACTCAATCTATGGAATGAAATGAAAATATAAAAAAAGATGAATGTGTTTTAAACACTTTAGCTTTCAGGTTTCTGTCCTGATTCAATTTAAGAAAAAAACACCTCTCAACAGATCTCTGCTAGCAGAATGCAGACCCCACCTGCCACCAGCCTGGGAAGACATGCATGTTTCAAGTCATGAGGGTGGGCTACAGCTGGACAGGTGGAGGGGCAAGGGCTACTTATGACATCGCCATCCTCCCAGCCCTAGCCCTGTTCCCATCATCATCTTTTAAATATAGAGTAGACCTCACTTAGGCCAAAGGGACAAGTCCAAGGCTCCCTGGACACCTGACACCAGGGATAGTACTGAACCCTGTAAGTGCTGTGTTTCCGCCTATGCAGACATACTTTGAATAAAGTGTCACTGTAACCTAGGCACAGTGAGATCACAACCCCGGTGATCAATGTCAAGTAAGCAAGTATAGTTTGCTTTTCTTTTGGAAATACAAGTTACAGGTCATTATTTAAACTACACCTTGGGACAACGGGATGATTACTATTTCTAGTTTCATTTACATTATTTATAACATGGGCTAAAGCATGTGAAGGCTTCATAAGCATTCTGAAACTCAAGTTACCATGTGCGGTGTAATGTTCCGATCCATTTTAAAAACAAACAAATCCATAGGATTCAGCATAAGGTCAATCCTCACCCAGGTACACCTAAGGTGCAAAGTCAGAAAATCGGTGAGTTTTATAAAAAACAATCTGGGTGCGATGCTGTGACCGGACAGCGATGAAATGGCCTAGAGGCCCTGAGGCAGAGAGAGTAAGAGCAGGGCCCAGAGTCAGCTCAGCCCACAGAGAATTCACCTGAGCAAGCCCGGCCCTGCGTGGGGCCTAATCTCCCAACCTCAGTTTCCTCCTGAGGACGCTCACTGGGCTGTGGTGAGGGTCTCATTAAGTAATGGCCCTGAGCTCTCTGTCATGCCACGCACTCAGCAAGCAGTGCTACTGCCACTTATGAATACTGAAATAGGAGCCGACCCTGAGCCCTCCTCATCGGCACTCTCCAACTTCAGTGGGGACAGGGGGCAGGGGCAGGGCCTCGAGGAGAGCCATTGGGAAGGCCAGGGGAGTGCCCTCGAACAACACGCACACCGTCCTGACTGGAGACCCTCGTCACCGTCAAAGGACTCCAAGGGCTGCAGAGACCCCTGCAGGCTGTTCCACCTCCCCTGCCACATGTGTCCCTCAGTCCAGTGGGGGGTGGCTTCATGGTGATACCCATCCCCCATTAGCATACTTTCTGCTCCATGATCCAAACCTAACCTTTGTGGGTCAATCTTTTTTTGTTTGTTTGTTTTTTGGAGAGGTTTTTGCTATAGTGTGTGTGCACTCGCCAGATAGACACAGAGAGACAGAAAGTGAGAAATCTCCCCACAGGGGGGATGGCCACACCGAAATCTCTTCTCCTTCATTCTCCTCTCAGGATCCTGGGCATGCATGCACACGTGCCCAACGTGAGTTTTAAGCCACTGGGTCTGGGACGCGAACTGCAGTCGACTACATGGGAGTCCAGCAACAAAGCCATTACGCTAACTGCTGGTCCCTGTGGGTCAATTTTGAAGTAAAGGCCTCCTGACCACACCTGGCCTTTTAACCCGGTGGCCCTCACTAAAGCCTCTCCAGTGGTCGCTTTCCTTTTAGTAAGTGGCGTTTTCTAGAGCCGTCTGCGGCTGCTCTAAGCAGGAACGAGCAGCAGCAATGTGCACAAACTTGCAGCAGCTGGTTATCAGGACTATGTCAGAGCCAATTGTCCAGTGGAAGTGTGTCTAAGGCCCACCACCTCTTTCCCCATCCCAATCTCTCTCTGAAAACCAGGTTGTAAAGTTTGCCAGCATTTCAGTCAGCACCTAAAGAGGGTGGAAGCCCCTGCTCACCAAGGGTCCAGGTGGATTTTAGAATATTTGAGCAAATCTCTGTTTAATATCCCCTGGAAGTTACTGGAGAATGGAGACTTAGAACTGTCTGCAGAATCAACAGCTTCTGCATTGCCTCTCACTGAGCAGAGGTTCTCCAGGGTCGCTATTTGGCACTCAGACCCACAGGTGGGAGTGGAGGAAGCCGGGCTACAGAGGTCGCAGGGCGTCAGCCCTCCATCTGTGTCCCTGCTAACTCCTGGAGTACAAGTGCAGGACAATCAAGGTGCAAAAGAGCTACCTCTGGCGCCAGACAGCTTCCTATTCTTTCTAAAGGCAAGCTAAGAAAATTATCCTGCTTTTCTCCAAGTTATAACTGGTTATTATGTGGGATTCTTGACTTTAATCTCTCTTCTCAAAGTTTAATGGAACACCTGCCTAACAGCTTCCCACCCATCACTCAGCAGAAACTTGGCATTCTAAGAATAATGGAGAACCACCTCCACAGCCAGTACTACGACTTGAAGCAATTTGGGGAATGGCTTAAGACTGGATATCTCGGGTGGAAAAATTCATACAAGATAAATAAATATGTAACTAAGCTTTAGAATTCTGAAACTGTCAGGACGAGCAGTTGGCAAAATGGCTATGCCACTGGATTCCCATGTAGTCAACCGCAGTTCGAGTCCCGGACCCGGTGGTTTAAACTCACGCTGGGCGTGTGTGCATGTGTGCCCAAGATCCCAAGAAAAAAATGGAGGAGAAGGGAGTGTGGTGTGGCCAGCCCTCCAGGGGCTGAGGTCTCTGTGACTCTCTGTCTCTCTCTGTCTTTCTGGCGAGCACACGCTCTATAGCAAAAACCTCTCCAAAAAAACCTAAGAATTCTGAAACTGTCAACTGATATAATTGAAAGTGCACTCCCTCTGAAATGAGAAACTCTAAAAATGTTGTAAAAATTTTAATTTCAGGAAAGGAAAATTTAAAAATCAGGGCAGTTGGGCCAGCCTAGTAGCTGAATGGTTAAGAGAACTGGACCCCATGTGACTGACTGCAGTTCAAAACCCAGACCTGGGCAGCTTGAAGACTACACTAGGCATGTGTGCTGTGTATACAGAATCCTGATGGGAGGGAGGAGTGGAGGAGGAAGGACTGCGGTGTGACCATGTCCATTGGAGGGTGATTTTTTTCTCTCTCTCTGGCAATTATACACACCCCAAAACAAATAACAAAAAAAAAAAAACAGAACAAAACACAAAAAAGAACATCAAAATAACAACCTGTTTCCAAACAATGTACTTTCTCCATTTATCTTACTACTCTTCCCACCCGATTCTTCCAAAGGTTCTTTAAAAAGTTTTATGGGGGTCAGCAGATAACATAATGGTTATACTGCTAGACTCTCACATAGTCGACTGAGGTTTGAGAGCCGGACTGGCAGCTTAAAACTCATGCCAGATGTGTGTGCATGCGTGCCCAAGATCCTGAGAGGAGACGGGGTTCAGCGTGGCCATCCCCTGGGGGGAGGGGTGATTTTTAATTTTCTGTCTCTCTGTCTCTCTGGCAAGTGCAAGCATCCTATAGCAAAAATCTTCCTTTTAACAAAAAAAGTTTTTTTTAAGTTTATTTCTTTCATGACAGTGAGAGATCTAGAGGGAGAAAAAGCACCCTCAACAGGGTCTCATGCCATGAGAGGCTCCTCTCAGCCTTCCTAGCCAGACAGGATCATGGGTGTACTTGCCCTGAGTGTCAGGATCATGTCACATGCCCTGCAGGGACATGCTGACAAGGAACCAAACCATCTCCCACATGGATCTAGCACGGTTTGAGCATGTTACCACTGTGTCACCAAGCTGGACCCCCAGAAGGTTCTTCACGTCAAGTACCTCCTCAGAGCGAGTACAGGTAGGATATAAAATCTACTGTAATGATTTCTTACCTTAACTATGCTGATAGGCTTTCGAGATAAGTGAAAACTTGCATACAGCAAAAATGTCAAGATAAAAATGAAGGCTCTGTACCTGAAACACAAAACAGTGGTTGGCAGAGGATGATGAAAGATGACAGAAGATATATCAGGAACACATTATTGGGGGACCAGCAGGTGGCATGGTGGTTGGGGCACTGAACTCCCACAAGGCTGACCACAATTTGAGTCCCAGACCTGGTAGCCTGCTTTCTCACTTTCTCTCTCTCTCAGTCGTTACCATGCACGCCCCATAGCAAATTTAAAATAATAATAATAATGATAATAAATAAAATTTTAAAAAAAGAACACATTATCAGGGCCAGTGGTGGCATGGTGGTTGAGGTGTTGGACTCCCACATGGTAGACAGTGGTTTGAGTCCTGGACCTGGTGGCTTGCTGTCTTACTTTCCCTCTTTCTCTCTGTCTCTCTCTAGTGAATAAAAATTATAAATAAATAAATAAATAAATAAATAAATAAATAAATAAAATTAGATAAATAATTCGATTTTAAAAAAATACATTATTGTGTGCTTTTCAATTTTCTTAGGCTGTATATTATTCCTTAAGCCTTTCAGCCATGATCAATCTTGCTTATATTATTGCTGCAATATTAGAATATTAAATAATTTCTGACATTTTTGCTTTGTTCACGTTGAAACTATACAAACATTAGAAGGGACTGGTAAACCCAAACTGTTCCTCCTGCTCTCACATATAACATTTCTGACCCCAGGTATGGTAGGGTTTTTCCCAGATATCAAGCAGTTACTCAGGGGTCCCCAGCAGGGTGCCCCCCCCCCCAACTAGGACAGAAATCTGACTGCTGTTTCCTATTTTCCAAGGTCCTTTCCAGAGGGCTTATGGGGAGTCACACCCACAGATGCCAACAGACCGTTCTGGCCCATTAGTGACATGATTCTTCCTATATCCTGCTCTTGGCATAGTACTGGAGTATCTTTGGGATGTGTATTAAGTTTCTTTATCGCTGTTAAAGTATTTTCCTTTCTGATCTCAGCTACCTTCCTTTTCCAATCACCACCCTAAAAACTGTAAAACTCACCTATAAGCCACAAGCCCCCACTTCCATGTGTCCTGCCTTTTTGGGCCAGATCAATGCAAATGCTTTTCACTAAATTCCAAACTCTGTCTCTCACTCTCAAAATAAAAGGACCCCATACCTGATCACCCCAAGAGAAAGGCATGTTTTTGCCTCCTCTCTGGTCTAGGTCACTCATAAACTGTATTAATTATTATTTTCACAGAGTTGGTTATTTTCCATTGACACCCCTAATTCAATCATTGTTTTTTTTTTTTTTGGGGAGATTTTCGTATAGGGCGCGTGCGCTCACCAGACAGACAGAGAGAGACATAGAGACAGAAAGTGACATATCACCCCCCAGGGGGGATGGTCACGCCGCAATCCCTTCTCCCTCCATTCTCCTCTCGGGATCTTGGGCACACACGCACACATGCCCGGCATGAGTTTTAAGCCACTGGGTCCGGGACGCGAACCGTGTCGACTACGTCTCGACTAGTCCAGCAACATAGCCATTATGCTAACTGCTGGTTCCCATCCCCCTAATTCAATCTTGAACTTACCCTCCTAGAGATAGCATCGACCCCTCAGGGTGAGAAGGCTCAGTCCCACAGACTGAACCCCCTTCAGCTGCCAAGGTAAGCCGAGGGTATGGCCTATGCTTCTGCCCCACTGCCGGTAAGCTGGGGCTCCCACAGCCCCTCCTCAGGTTCAATTGCTTTGCTAGAGCTGCTCATAGAACTGGGACACACCTTGCTTACATTCTCCATTTATAGTAAAGGACAGTATGAAGGATACAGAGGGTCAGCCATATGGAAGAGATGCACAGGGTAAGCTCAGGGCAAGGGGCACAGAGCTCCTTTGCCCTCTCTGGGCACCTCACCTTCCAGGCACCTGTAAGTTCAGCAACCCAGAAGCTCTCTGTGCCTTGCCTTTTGGGCTCCTATGGAGGCTTCATGCCATAGGTGTGATTGCTTCATGCCACAGATGTGATTAAGTCACTATTAGCGATCAACTCTTCCCTCTTCCCTCCCTGGAGGTTGAGGGTGGGACAGAAAGTTTCAACCCTGCCTCACAGGATTAGTTCCCTTGGCAACCAGCCTCCATCCAGAGGCTACCCAGCCACCTCATTCGCATACAAAAAGTCACTTATCACTGAGATTCTTGGATGTTAGGAGCTCTGAGCCAGGAAATGGGAAGATACCAAATACATATTTACTACAACTTTATCTTTATTAGCTCTCAAATCCCAAATATCACAAATCTCATTTAAAAACAAACAAACATATAGGCAAAGAGAAATTTGGGACTCAGAAGATACACCCTTGTTTATAAAGCAGACAAGAAAGCATGATTATTTAGTTTACAACACAATTAACTACAAGCTTCTGGGTCAGCCCGGTGTCCTAGGCATTCAAGATCACACTCCTTTCAGCTTGTTGGTTTCTGTGCGCCCCTTCGGAAGCACACAGCAAGGCAGACATGGAGGTATCACAGAGACCTCAAAGACACTCGGCAGTGCTGGCAAGCTCTGAATAAGGCTGAGGGCACGGAAACCTGGCCCCGAGCCCTGCTCGCCTGCTAGAGAAGAGCTCAAGGACGCCCAAACAAGCCGGAGACCGAGGAATAGAAGGGACTTTCAGGAGAAAATCAAGGTTAATTCTGGTCCAATACCCTGAACAAAATGGGCTGGCAGGAACAAAGATCTGACAGAGGTGAAGAAAAGAGACTCCAACCTGGAAGGAGCTCTGTGTGCTCTGAGGCAGGCACTGCCCCCAGCTCTGAAGAACTTGTCCTGTTTGGAGCCTGGCAAGGCCAGTGCCTGCAAACTGGGGGACTAAGCCTTGAATTAAGTTACCCAGAGCAGAGTGTCCCACATGGAACAAGAAAGGATAGTGGCTTGACCTCCATGGAGCAGGACTACCAGGAAGCCCATCAGCAAGCCACATCAGGACTCTGGATCATTTTTATTTTAAGAGATATATTTTTTTGCTATAGGGTGCGTGTGCTCACCAGAAACACAGAGGAAGACAGAGAGAGAGAAAGTGAGAAACCACCCCCCACCAGGGAGGATGACTATGCTGCAATCCCTTCTCCTCTCAGGATTTTGGGTATGCATGCACATGCACCTAGTGTGAGTTTCAAGCCGCCAGGTCTGGGACTTGAACCACAGTTGACCATGTGGAAGTTCAGTGCCTTAAGCAATATGCCACCTTCTGGCCCCATCACTTTCTTTCTAATGTCATGATTCTCCCCTTAAGGGAAGCTCTCCATCCACAATGCAGATCCTGGAATCCTAGCAGTGTCTGCCTCTCTGTCTACCAGCAAAACTAGGGATCAAATAAATATTCCCAGATTTAAAAAAAAAATGAAATAAAGACCAAATTTCAGGTAGGAAAAAGAATTGGTGGTACCATGGGACCCAAATCAATATCCTCTGCAATACCTGTGCCCCGAGGAATGAAGAAATCAGATCAACCTGCAGGTACTGAATGAAGATCTACCAAGTGAAGATGGAAGACCCCTAGGGTGCTACATACTGATGGTTCTTCTAGGATTCTCTCTATCCGATGCCATGACCAGACAGGAAAAAAGTGAAACTCTCAAAATAAGTGTAGAATGTATCCCAAAGCCCAAGGCTGTATGGGTATGGTAGATTTGCTACAGAAACCTGGGCCTTTGTCCTGGTGCTCTGAAATCATCCTTTTTGGCAGGACTGAAAGTGTCCCGATTCTGTGGTTGAGGCTCTGTGTTACACCACTCAAGCTCCAATGTAGCTCAGGTCATAACATGTAGAAATATTTAGGCCACTGCAGCTTTGTCAGCCCTCAATCCTCAAATACCCAGCCCCCAGCTACGCTTGCTGGCCACTTAGATACCCACTTGCTGTTACTGAAGCCTGTGGACGACCTCGACCTGCTCCCTTTGGGGTACAGGGCTCCATTTTCCCAAACTTCACAAGAGCTACAGATCAAGTCATCAGATTGAGCTATCGCCAACACTTCTCACATCAGAATCTCGCCAGGCCAGCCCCATAGCCTGGTGGTAAAGGGAGCTGGATCCCATGTGCCTGACCATAGTTCAAATCTCAGCCCCAGCAGTTCAAAAAACACAACAGGCTCTGTGCATGCATGTCCAAAAGTCCGACAGGATGCAGAGATGAAGGGATTATGGTGAGATCATGCTCTTTTGGGGAATGCTTATTCCCTCCCACCCCTTTTCTGGCAAGTGCACAGATTCTCTGCAATTAAAAAGAAAAAAAAAAAAAGAATCTCAAGGAAGAACGTGGAGCATCTCTTAGGAGCCCTTGAGAATGCTATGTACCTACACACCACAAGCTTTACAGGTATGTTATCAACTAGAGAATCAGAATTTCACAATCACCCGGCTAGGAAGGGTTTGGAAAAGCCACTCTACTTAACCAGGTCTTTGGTTCATGGTTTCCACTCTTTACCCAGACAGCCCAGAAATAAACAGCTTTTCTTTCCGAGAAGGTTGGGCTGAAAATGAAGAGTGCCCCTGGAAAACTAATACAAGCCTTCTATTTCTGTTCAGTATTAATACTTATACATAAATATAAAGCAAAGACAATGAAAAATAGAAGTTTTATATTTCTTGAGACCAGCAGTTAGTGTAAGGGCTATGTCGTTGGACTCCCATGTAGTTGACAGCGATTTGAGTCCCAGACCTGGTGGCTTAAACTCACACCGGGTGCGTGTGTGTGCGTGCCCAAGATCCCGAGAGGAGAATGGAGGAGAAGGGATTGCGGCGTGGCCATGCCCCCTGGGGGTGATTTCTTGCTTTCTGTCTCTCTGTCTCTCTCTGTCTTTCTGGCAAGAGCACATGCCCTGTAGCAAAAGTCTCTCCAAAAAAAAAAAAGTTTTCTATTTCTTTTACTCATTTTTCTACTTCCTTTTTGCAGTTATGTCTAATTATAGTATTCTTTGTAGCCACTGAAATAGTGTTCGTGTTAACCCCAAATTAAAAAAAAAAAAAAGTCTTGACAGTGATAGTAGAGGGGTGCAGGCCTTCAAAGCCTCCAAAAAATGTTTTAGGGGCCAGCAGGTAGAGTGGAGGCTAAGGCGACTGACTTCAATATAGCCAACTGTGCGATTTGAGTCCTGGATCCAGATGGAAGAACACACCGGGCACATATGCATGCGTGCCAAAATCCTGAGAGGAGAATGGAGGAGACAGGATCGTGGTACAGCCATCCCCTCCCCACTACATCAGGGATGATCTCTCTCTCTCTCTCTGGGGAGTGCATACACCCTACAAGCAAACAAAAAGAAAAAGGAAAAGAAATGTTCTAGCATATCACGTGTCTTCAAGTGAATAGCAGCCTGCTCCAGGGAAGAGGCTCCAGGCAGATGATCTGTTTCCTGGTTTGAGTGTTACTTATCTCAGTCATATGCAAATAAGGAATGAGTAGGAGCTCTGGAGAGTTACTGAGCACTATGATTTGGTGTGGAAATCAGCCCGAAGACATCCTTGATTTAGAAACAACAGAGGCAAACACAGACCTGTTGCCATGTCCTTTTCAGAGCATCCCATCAAGAGGCACAGGATGCCAATGACATCACGGCTGATCGCTGGTTAAGTGCTGTCTGCCACATTGTCCCACAGTGTCACTACTTCTCCCTCTAAGGGATGAGTAAGGAATTTGTGGGCACCTTCTTAGAGGTGACAGAGATACCCTGTTCCTCCAGTTGTCTCTGCAGTGTGTGTCCACTGAAGCTCCGAGCCTTCGGCCAGCCTCCCTGTGGGCCCAGGGCTGCTGTGCTAACCCAGCACTGCTCCGCCAGCAGCAGGTATGTGCAGCTGGTGTGCTGCTGTAAGGAAGGGCTCCGTTTTCCTCCATGTATCCACCTCTTAGCTGTATCAGGAGCGGCTCACTAGATCCCTACTGTAATCACAACTATCACCCATTACTATGTCATTACTTTACACCTCACATTGTCCTGGATTTGGCCAGCCAGGGTCCCCTAATTTTTAAGCATGCCCTTATTTTCTGGCACAGAAGTTCTAGGCTCATCTTGTACTCCCCTTGCCCCAGGCCTGGCATCAGCCATGACTCTAAGTACCCTTGGCTCTTTTCAATGGGAAATGGCCCATAGGAGCCAAGGTCCCGGAGCTGAGGGCACACTGCAGTGGGTACGTGTTTATTTCTATATCCATCTCCCTGGACGAGTTCATCCCAAGCAATACCACATGATTCATTCTAGCCTCCCCCTCCCCTCAGCATGTGTACCTCCTTCTCTATCAGTGAGGACACTGTCTCTTCAGTGGGGTTCCTGCCAGAAGTGTATAATCTGAATCTAATCAGAAGGAAATAACATACATACCCAAAATGAGAGACAGGAAGGTTATGAAGGGGCCTAGGGGCCTAGAATTCCACCTTTCGAGCAAAAGGCATTTGAGTTTTTGAAGTCTCTTTTCTGCTTTCCAGAGTAACTCCACAGAACTAAGTTGTCATAAGCCCCCTCCCTGGAGCAGCCAAAGAGGACAGACTCTTATCATGAGAAGTCCCTGCACCACACCCAAATAGTCGTTAGCACAAAAGCATCTATCTCCCATCTCTTTTCCTTAGGGCCTACTTCTCTTTCCAAAAAGCCACCTGTTTCTCCTACCCTTGTTAAAGATGGTATCTAGGCTCCAGGTTCCAAATGCCTCTTTGAGTCACAGTTTTTATGGTCTCTCATACATACCTGATTAAATCTGTCTTTTGTCTTGCTGTTTTTTGTTGGTTTAATTCCCAGGCCCCCAAACACTAAACCTAAGAGGGTAGAGAAAAGTTCTTCCTCCTCGACAGAGATCAGTGGGGTGGGGTAGAAGCCAGAGAGTCCACCTTTGAGTTTGTCTCCTTCAAAGCATATGGAATTCATAAACCTACCTGTCAGGAGGATTCTCAGAGAGGAAAGAGGTGATCTGGTTGGTGTCTAACTTTGTTTAGATTTTGTCTTCTTTCTGAGCATTCTGTCCCAGCTGGCCACTCATCTGGGCTCCAAGTTTATCTACTTATTTCACCCCCAGCCATTTTATGATCTGCCAGTAGCCAGTGATCATAGTGTGTAGGGATCGTGATTATCACAGAAACCAACGAAGACCGCCAAGGCGTCCAAAGGCCATCTGTCAAGCCCAGAACTGAAGGAGGAGGACTGCTCCACAAGGTTTTAGGACACAGCTTCTACCATGACAAGCAATTCAACCACCTGGGGAGGCCACCAGTCCCATTGTCTGTGTTTGGCCTCTTGCAGGGGCCCTCACCCACAGTATCCCACCAGAGAACTGGCCCACCAGGACTCACCACTGGTCCCTGGAGAAGGAGATGATGAAGCGAATGCCAGCAGGGAGGCGAGCCATTTACAATGCCACTGACCACCGAGGCTGTCCCAAAGTAAGATGCTTCATAAACAGGTTATTGATCCTGGCTCCAAGTCCTCTCTGGCTGCCCCTGCAGCTTACACAGGGTGGCTAGCACATGGAGATGGTATCCTGCGGCCTTGTTCCCTCTTCTTTTGGCAGTGACTCTGTGCTCTACGAGGAGAATAAGAGGTACTGAAGGACTGGGGTCCCGACAGTGGCTCCTTTGGAGTTACCAGCAGAAGTGATGACACAGACTTTCAATGAGGCTTCCCAGTCCAAACCAAAGTTGGACATCTGATCTGACAAGACGTTCCTACCACGAATGCCATCGGCATCTGTCCTCAGGCACTTTGTTCAAAGATCACTGGGATGAATTTCACATAATGTTCTTTTTATTTATTTATATTTTTATTTCCAGGAAGGGGAGGCAGAGAGGAGGGAAAGAAAGAAGGGAGGAAGGTTGCCCTTGACAGGGTTTTGAGACCATAAGCGACCCCCAACCCCACCAGCCCTGAGACATTTGCCAGGATCACCTTGCCCATGGTGTGCTCAGCAGGACACTAACTTGGAACCTTTCCACAAGGCTTCCAACATGGTACAGCAGCACCCCTGCTGCTTACCCTCTACCACCACCGAGGATGGGCCCACATAATGTTCTGATGTTAGATAAAAGGAACCACAGAGCAGGCCAGCAGATATCATTAACAGTTACATCACTGACCTCCCACATGGCCTACTACAGTTTGAGTCCCAGACCTGGTGGCTTGAAAGTAATGCCACGCACGTGGAATTGCAGCATGGCCATACCCCTTGGGAGGACTTTCTTACTTTCCCACCCACTGCCTCCCCTGCCCACACCACTGCAAGCATACTCACCCTAAGGAAAAACAAAACAAAACAAGGAACCACAGAGCTCATCTCTATCTGGAAGAACTCTAGAGATCAACCCATTCATTCTTAACTAGCACCTTCCATAGAACATAGATAATGTTCACAGGGTGGAAAACCAAGCATGAGCCTAGTGGTTATGCCACATGTCCAGTGATCAGAGCCTGCTGGGAACTGGACTTGCTTAGTCCCACCTTCATGGACCAGGCTCCTTTGAGCCAGAGCGTTAGAGGAACATAGGCCTGGACAAGATGGCAAATCAGTCTAGTCATTTAACCACTTAATGGAGCTTTAACATTTGAATCAAAATGCACTTAGTGCTATGGTTGTGAACTTGACCTCTATCTGCCTCTTCACTTTCCATTGCCTTTGGTCATCTTAGAGGCCTAAAACTGACCTCATTATGAAGTCAGGGCTGAAGGCTGAGCAACCCAGGAAGGGATACATAGGAGCCAAGAGCCATAGGGCCAGGCTCCCACCTGACTTCATAATGTCCAGGATCTGGAGGCTTGAAACTCATGCTGGGCTCCTGTGTATGTGTGCCCAAAATTCTGAGAGGAGAAAGGAGGAGAAGGGGTTGTGGGTATGGCCATCACCCCTGGGGTGTGATTTCTCACCTTCTGTATCTCTGTCTCTCCAGCAAGCCACATGCCCTGTAGCAAAAATCTCTCTCAAAAAAAGAATTCTATCTGTCTCTCTGGCCCCTGTGGGCCTTAAATGTGACTCACTCCACCTGAAATGCCTTTTGTGCCCACCTGCTCCTTCTGGGTAAGTCACTTAGCACCTTGGCTCCCTCCCCTTCCGGGCTAACAATCCAGGAAGATGGCACTTACGGTGTAGTAAAAATGAAGTGATGCCCCATTAGAGGCACTCTGGGGCCTGAAGTGCAGTGAGCGCTCAGCGCATACTAGCTGGTAGGGTTCTGACTGCACATCCTGAGGGCCTGGGGCGGGGGGGTGACTGCCCAGTTCATGACCTAGCACCTAACATGTGCTCAAGAAACTCATACTGAAGGCCAGTCTGTGGCCTGGATCCCACACAGTCAATTATGTGGTCTGAGTCCCAGACCTAATGGACTGAAAAATGCCCTGGGCAAGTGTCTATGCATGTGCATGTGTGTATACCCAAAATCCCTGAGGAGAGACGAGGAGAAGGGACCGTGGCATGACCATGACCCATGGCAGGTACTTTCTCGCTTCCCTGCTCAGTGTGTGTGTCTCTGTCTCTGTCTGGCAAGTGCTTGCAACCTCTGGCAAATTAAAAAACACAAAAGAAACCTGTGTTGAACAAAGGTCTACGAATGCTTCCACACTGCTTTTGCTCACACTTTAAGATGTAAAACAAACTTTGCTCAAACTGTTCTCAAATGAGTGGGCTCTCGTTTGGGTCTAGATTTACTGAGAAACAATCCAGTGATGTTAAGTTCAGGGTACAGGATTTGTTTCGCCTTTTTTTTTTTTTTTCTACAAGTCCTGAAGATAGACGGCCAGAGCCGAACTTCTTCCCCCTCTTAGATCTGTGTCCCTGTACACAGCGAGTGTGGAGACAGACCACTGCTGTCTACTTCATGGACACATCAGCAAACGGCCACCCGGTGATGCTAAAATGTTAACAGAGCCGAAGGCACTGGAAAGTCAACAGGCAACAACCTCTT